CCCTGACACCTGGCACCTCCGTTCACCAGCCTCAGGGCCAAACCAGAATCAGACCCTAGGGGGCAACACAAGACCCCACGTCAGATCTCTTCAGGGCAAAGGTCGAAGGCAGGTTCCAGAACCAGGAGACTTCCTTATGGCAACTCTCCCTCCCGCTCCCTAAAGGGAGTCACCATTTTACAAGCCCAGGAGCTCATCGTCATCACAGGGAGAGGAGCAGAGACATCCTGTCCTGCCCGTGTCTCGGGGTGCTCACATGCAGGGATGCTGCCCACAAGTTCAAAAAGAGGTGAGCAGGAAGGGATCCCCAACCCACCCCGGACACACCCAGGCTGCAGCACCACAGCTACCGGGGGAAGGACAAGACCGTCCCCCTCCTTGGCAGCTTGGTGGCTCCTGGGTTCTGGCAGAGCCCGTGGAGATGATGGGACCTGGCCAGACAGGAGCAGGTCGGGCAGTTTCACCCCCTCCCCGGATAGCCATCCATGGCCTGAGAGACCTGCAGAGGACCCAGCAGCACTGAGAGGCAAACAGGACGTATGCTGACCACCACCCGCGCCCGGAGGATGTCTGCTGAGCATCTGGACCAGAACTCTGCTAGTCACCTAGGGGACCGGCCCACAGAGGCCAGACTGCCACTTGCCCTGGGCATGCGCAGAGCCAATCTCCCGCTCAGCTTGTTCACCTGGGACAAGGGCCCCGACTGAGGTCCACCAGCTCCCTCCACCTCTCTGAGTCTGGATGTTCCTTTCCGCATCAGAAAACTTTGCTACCTCCCTTGCACGAACCTCGGGCCCCCCGGCATATCTGAGGGGCTGCCCAGATGCCGGAGCCAATGCGGGTTCCTGGAACCCAGAGCACTAAGGTCACTCATGACCCTCCCTCCCCTGGGCGCTCTCCCTGTCACTTCTGGGTGCACATGTGGCCCCATGGAGTCTGCGGTGTGGCCCGGATGGGGGACGCAGGGTCTCGGGCCTGCTGTCACGTCCCACTAACAGACGGTCGGTGGTTACCGCGTTCCCTCTCCACAGAGCTCTCCCCTGCCAGGACCGTAATGGGGCCAAAGGTAGGAGGACACCTTCCGGCTTCTCTGAACCTGCAGCCAGCCTTCTCTGGGAGAGTATCCAGCAGAGGATGACAGCTTAGGTGCATGAATGGGGAGTAGCCATGTTGGAAATCCCACGTCCAGTTACGAAGCCCCAGCCAGGAGACTCAGGGATGGAGGGGAAAATAATGTGTCCCCACCGGTTCTGCAAAGTGCTGTGTTTCCCCTACAGTGGGGGGAACGGGGGTAGGGGGGCAGGGAGTAGAGGGACACCCCGAGGAAGGTCATCGGAGACTCACTTGGCCAGGCAGTGGTCTGGGGCTGAGGACCTGTGAGGAAGTGAAGGACAGTCACACACCCAGCACACAGGGGACCCACTGGAATCCACACAGACGACACTGCGCACATGCACATGGAGCTGATGCTCCTCGTGGGTCCTCAGCATGGGTGGTGTCAGGGCCCGCTGCGGGTGTCACAGTCCTCTGGGGACTCCGCCTTCGGTCTCACGTCCTATGCCTACCTCCCTGGGCCTGGGGGCTTACCTTCCAGAATAGGAGAGCCCCTGCCATGCCTGGGACAGGCCACCAATGTCACCAGTTAACTTTTCGGGGAAACAGCTAGAAAGCCCCAAGGGTCAGTGTAGAAAGTGCCCAAATCCTACCCAGGTGCAGTGATTCTAAGACCAACCAAGGCGCCTCCCCTCCCCCAGAGTTTCTGCCTGGGGGCCAGTTTCAACACCAATGTCCCAGCAGGCTCATTAGTTTTCCACACAGAGCCACCCCTCCCCACACCCTCCTCCCTACCCCCATCTAATCAACTAGTGGTCACTCTCTCACACACTCATCATTTATGCTTGAAATCTATTGTCTGGGGCAGCTGTGACAGGACCCAAATTCACAAGCTCTCAAAGGCTAGAGCAGTGCATTTCCAAGCGTTTCCCTAAGGATGGGCCTTGAGGAGGGAGCCCCAGGGAACATCAGTGTAGCCTCAGGAGGCCATCCTGCTGGCAAGCAAGGCTCATTTCGTCCACCCACAGGGAGGTGGAGGCTCTAGATCGCTCCCTCTGCCATTGTTGCCCCAAGGCAATGTGGGTGACACTTGGATGAAAAGGGAGGGGAGGGCACCCTGATGCTCCCCCGGATGTTGCACTCCCGGGGCCAGCTGCCCACAGGACACTCGGGAGGCAGGGATGTCTGGGAGCAGCTTCGGGGGGCCCTGGAATGGGAAGTACGTATATCTCGGCAAAGATCACCCGAGATGCTTGCAGCGACAACTTTGAGGCCCACCTGAGCACATGACACTGGCGTCCGCCCAGGCCCCATATTGGGTGTGTTCCAGGACATGTGGGGGCAGCTCCACAGGTAGGTCTCACGCCCTGAGCAGCCCAGGACCTGAGCCTCTGCAGCAGGAGACCGCCAGAGACAGCTTCCCAGCCCCACCAAGGTGCCACCTTGGACCGTTCACCCCTCCAAGGGACCCGCTCCGTCGGACCCGAGGCTGTCCCGAAGACTACCTTTCCACTGAGCACGTGACTCATGTCACTTGCAGTCCTACAGCCTACCCTGCATCTGGAACAAGCATGGACCTACTGAGCGTCCTCTGAGCACAGGGAGATGGCTGGGAGGAAGGCTGCAATTGCCAGCAGGCTGCTAAGAGTCCCTCCAGAGACAAATAGACACTTTCTCCTAGTAGGAGGTAGAACTGAGGATTATAACTATCCCATGCAGGAAGCAAGCTGACAGTCAATCCAAAAACATAGGAAAGAATATGTTAGAAATGTATAGTTTGACAGTTAATCTTGGAACTTCTGGATCCAGCTGTACCTGAAGACAGAACTACCACTCCATTGCACCCCATATATCTTAAGACACTATGAATTTGGGGCCTATCACTTGCAAACCAAAATGTCTTGACTAATATGCACCATAGCTGGTAGGAAAAAGCCACCCATATTTCTGGTAAGTGAAGGCAACCCTCCGCATTGGTTGAGGCTGTGAGCTCAGAGGTCCAACCCAAGGTTCAGGCATTGCACCCAGGCCTGTTGACGAACACTGAACACTGATACCTTGGCAGGATTCCCGTGATGCTTACCATGGGTAGGAGTTGTTGTGTCCCACCAATCTGGAGGGAAAACAGCAGAATCAGAAAGGAGATCTACAGAATCAAGGTTGGCCCAATGACCTACAACTGGGGTCTGAGACAGTGGGGACTGAGGAGCTCCACTGTCTGGGGGAGAAAGGGCCCTTTCCTGAGAGTTGCAGTGAGCCCAAACCATGCCCTCGAATGTCCACAACAAGGGCCATGAGCTGGTACAATCCCCAAGAGCAATGTCTGAGCTCTCCTGACTGAGTGCTGTCCAGTAAAAGCATGGCCTCGACTCTGCAGGGCATGATGAAGATCTGTTCCCTCCTCACACAGACCTCTTGGTCCAGGTAAGGCTTCCAAGTCCAAATGGCCCCAGGACAGACCCCCACTGTCACCCTACTCTCAGTGGGGAACACTGTGTCGCTGTAAAGCCCTTATCTCGCTGAGCCAGATCAGAGGACCCATGTGACAGGGGCTCATCTGGAACCATCCACAGGATCTAGAGAGACCTAGGAAGGTACTGAGAGGTGGAGATCCTCCACACACCCCTCTCAGGGCTACTGGTTGGGGCTGCTGAGGTGACTGGGGAGAGAGAAGACACCCCGAAGACTGGAGGCAGCAGGACTCACCTGGCCTGAGCGTGGACTGTGGCCGGGCAGCTGTGAGGAGAGAAGGCAGATCAGACACTTGCACGCAAGTGGCCCAAGGGGAGCAAAGGGGATGATGCTGAGCAGGTGAGCTGCTCAGTCCCTCGTGTGCCCGGTCACAGAGGACGGGGCTCTGCCAGCCACACCCCTGCAGAGATGCTCCTTGTGACAGGTCCCTGCAGACCAGCGTGCGTTATTTCCATGTCAGGGCGATATGCTCTCCGTCTAGATGACC